GCCGCCGAGCTGGGCTGGGAGGAGGTGCGGGGCTGGGGGAGATGCAGAGATGCGCAGGGGGTTGCAGCTGCTGGGCACGGTTTGGGGAAGGGGGTGTTGGGGGGGCTTCCTCGTCTACCCCGGCAAGTTTACTCTGTCCTGGCAAAACTACACTCCAGCAACTTGGGGAAGTGGTTTTGTTAAAAGTGATTTCATTGAAATTTCACTTACTCTGATTTAAAAGCTAAGCTAAGGGAAATGAGATGTACTGTGGGATTGTATGAAAAAATAGGACCTCTCTGGAAATCCCTTAGCCCAACCTGACACAGTATTTATCGCATGAGGAATCCCTAGGGGTGGGATTAAGTGGGAAAGGATAGAGCTGCTTTAGGCATACACCTTCATTATCTTGATTTAATTTGAAATGTTGTGTTACACCAGAAAGTTGCTATTTTTTCTAACAGGGAGTGCTTGTCAAACAAGCACAGCTAATGGGCTTTTTAACAAAATATGTTCTCTTTTTTTATTCTGTTTTCCCACTCCAGATAGATTAACTACTTATACCTTGTGGAGTAACATTGCAAAATAAGTCGCTGTGCAAGGAATAGTTCTGTTTGTATTATATGTGTGTGAGTGTGAGTTACTTTCATCAGGAGTTTTTTGTTTTGATTTGATGTGTTTTTTAATATCAAGAATCAAAGAAATCCAAGTACAGTATGTCGAATATTCTGTTAAAAATAAATTCTGGAGATGTGGAAGAGGGGAGGGAAAGAAAAGGAGGGCAAGGAAAGGCAATGGCACACAGTATTTCATCGTTGTTCTTACAGAAATGATTGTTTGTAGGGTGAGCTCTGGAGGTAAGAAGTGAATCCCAGGTTAAAAAGTGACCGAAACTCTGCAGCCAGCATTCTGCTGCCTTGGAAGAAGTTGAGTTTGTAGACGTTGGCAGGACTGAAAGATAAAAGAACAAATATATCACGGACAGTGACAATTTTGTAGGAGAATTTCCTCCTCCATGTTTCTTTTGAATACGATTGCTTTCTTCAATAGCACTCTTTCTTTTTTCTTCCTTGTGGTTATTATGTATATATTACACAATAACTTACTGTTTTCCGGGGTGTGCCAATGTGTGTGTGTGTAAATGAATGAAGCCCTGCAGGGATTGCAGCGCTGTTCTGGATGGGGTGATGGAGGGACACTGCTTGGCATCGGGAGTAACATAGTCTTAGGCGTGAGTAAAAAACAGATGGGACTGCACATGAAATAAGAGTTTTGTGAATAAGTGAAGAAGGGTTAAGGAAACTTAGGAGCTGGTGAAATAATTACATCTCCTTTGTCCAGAAGTTCATGCTCCAGGCAAAAAACCCCACAAAAATCCCCACAAAACCCCCAATATTCAGGCTTTCTCACCTGTTCCCCTAAGCTTTACAGGCTATCGGATTTCTTCTGCTCCCCCTGGAAAGCCTTGCGAACCAGGCAATGGAAGAAGCAGTGTTCAGAGACAGGCAGGCAACGGTTTAATGGGGAAGGTGGGTTAATTTGAAGTGTTGCCCAGTCCCACTTTTTGCAGCCAGGATACCAGTCCCAGGCAATACTCCCATTTGAATATACTAATTTAAGAATAGAAAACAAAGTAAGAGAATTGTAGCACCTTTATTTGGTGTTTTTCCTTGAACTGAAACAAACATCCAAAAAAGCAAATTTTTCATTGGAAAGCAGTTTTCTTGTTATGTGAACATCTCGGAGATTTCAATAATACCTCACTTCTAAGCAGTGTGAAGTTAAGAGCCCCTCTAATTCTTTTTGGGGGAAAACAAGCATTCAAAATAATTAGTCACCTTAAGTCTGTGCCAGTACCAAAATGTGGTTTTGAAATCCACCCCTTAATGCCTGGAACTAATTATTGTTATTCGTGGTACATGCAAAACAAGTGGAGATGATGGGCATTCCTACCCTGCTCACCTGGCCATTCTAACTAAGTCTACCTTCACCTCTTTTTTGCTTAATTTGGTTCAATTATTTGCAAAAATGTGACCACAGGTAATTATAGACTGCTTGGTAGGTTATAAAATCTCTATTAATCTGAGGTCTTTAAGAGCAGTGTATAAACTGGTTATGCATGGCTCATGGGCAGCAACTTTGGGCAGGGGTATAAATTAGATGACTTCGTAGGGTTTCCTGCAGTGCTAGAACCGTAGAGATAAAGCACCACCCTCTCCAGCACCAGTCTCCTGCCCAGGTGAGTTACACCACATCTCCTCACTGATATGCCTGCATGGTGTCTAGTGTACTCACAATTCAGTGATGCTCATTTCTATTATTTACAGAGATTCATTGCTATTAGAAATATACTGCCAGACAAAATAATGACATGGAAAGGTGGATATTCTGGGTGCTGAGTTGGGAGAGACCCAGAGACAGTGACTTCCAGGTCTGCAGCCTGGGTGGGCAGAGATGGAGAAAGAAGCTGCCCCCAAGCCAAGCACGGCATCACTGCAGCATTATGCAGTTAATAACACATTCAGTCTTCTAAAAGGGACTGAGCTTTTCCACATCACATATGCCAAACAGAGGAAACAAAGCCTGTTACACATGTAATGTCTATCATCTTCTCAAAACCACCATTTTCATATCACGGACATTGTTCATATGCAAGCATACATTACATAGCACATGTTTAGTTCTTTAAATGCAACATACAACAAAGCAAGAGGTAGCATCCAGATTCTCAACTTATGATGTGTGTGCTGGAGGTGAGCTGAGTTCTCAGCGAGCTCAAGGTTGTAGGCACTGGAATGTGTTTTCCTGACTGGGTTTTAGCATTCAAGAGGTGCCGTGCAAATTTTTTTGCCTGCTACTTTTCATTGAGAACAGACTAATGCTAGCCTGACCCTCAGTGAAACCTGAGCAACTGTTTATTGCTAAGAGATGTGAGCATCCGTATCTGCTGTGAACTTGTGAAGAAGCCTCCTGCTGTGCTGCTAACATAGAGCAGGCAGAAACTACTGGACAAATCCCACAACACCCAGGGCAGCAGACTTCCTTGGACACGGAGCTCTCAGACTTTGCAGTAAATAAGTGTGCTGGGTGTCATAGTTTTTATTTAAATCATTGACACGGGACACTTATGCAAATGACCTTTGCTGTACAGCATTGCTAAGCACGGTTTGTGCTTCCAGGTGCACCGATGCCATCCCAAGCACTCGAGGCAGATGAGGATTTGCAGCTGTGGAAAGAGGTAAGCATCATCTGCCATACGGTGTACTCCCATTTCTTCTGTGCCCATCCTTGCTACAGTCACACCTCATCCTCCAGTATTTATCTTGCACAGAGTTCAGGTGCTTCTTCTTCCAGTCCTGCTTCTCCTGTACATCTTCTATCCTGACATCAACGAAGAGGTGAAATTTCTTATTTTCCAGATTTTCTGAAGAGGAGGATGTTGAGGCTGGGTGTTGAGATGTCATTCTGGGAAAAGACTGTCTTGGCTCAAAGGAGAGCTACGTTTGATAACAGTTGTCATTTAACTGTCAATGACCAGGCAGTCACTGTCCCTGGAAGCAACACAGGGTCCCATCTGGTCATTTTATAGTCCATACACGATACACAGAAATTGTTTCAATTCATCCAGTCTTACCTCTTGCTGCTTCTGTTCTGCACACAGGGCTGGGACACTGTATTTAATCCTAGCCTAGCCTCTCAATTTAGTACGTAAAGGATAATGTGCTGTGCCAATTAGCTCCTCTAACATTTTGCTACTGATCGCTATCGTGACTTCCACTCTCACCTTTGAAATGAACATTTGTTTTGACTCCAGGATGTGACACGTGTGTTAACACGAGCTGTTCCCTGCCCTTTTGGAACAGATGGAGCGGCAGGGCATAACATGCAGAGAGGGTTTAGCCTGCGACTCACATGCCCTGGCGTTGCTGTAACCTTCAAGTATTCTGTTGACATTTAATTTTGTAGCTTTTGATAACATTAGAAAGCAAGTGACTCACCAGGGGTGCAGATGCAGAGAGTAAATTTCATTCAGGAGAAGCCCTGCCTCTAAATTTCCTCCTCCTATTTTCCAGGAATGGCTTTGGGTTTATAAATATGAAAACATTGTAACTAAGTATTGCATTCCTTTACTTGTCTCTCACATCCTTTCCTTTCTCTATGTTATTTAACCAACCTCAAACAACTCACAAGCTCCCACCCTCAGGCTACATTTCTGAGATAGGAGAGAAAAATAGGGAGAAGATGCATCAAGGGTGATAGAAACCATTAAAATCTTATTTTTATTTTTTAAAAAGGAATTAATAGAAACTGTGGCTTTTCCTCAGCCCTTGCTTTGTCCATGCGGCTTTCAGCTGAGAGATGCCTTGCCTCGCATTGTGTTGAACACAAAGCAGTCTCCGGCTTGTCCTGCTACTGAATTACAGTAGTTCTCTAAGAGTCACAAAACAAGCAGATAAATCAATAAAAACCAAACAAAAAATCCCTCACCAGTTAAAAACAGCTAACTTTTAACGTAGGCTTCCAACATGATTTCAGCTTAGTTTCTCTCATTCACTGCTGATTTCTCCCTCTACTTTTTCTTACTCTGAAATTAGTGAAGCTGAACTGATATACCCAAAGACAAACCAATGCAAGATGAAGGGAAAAGAGAACGGGGAGGTTGTGTTGCCAACAAAAATTATTTGAAAGGGGAATTCTGTGAGCTATTAGCTTTCCCACTATCTCTGCTAATGCTTTCTCGTAGATTGTCTCCAGAGAAATGAATCATCTCTCGTCTTGAAGTACTCAGATATGCATTATTTGTTTATCGCTTTTTTCATTTAATGTTTTCATTGCTAAAGAGTGCTGTTTTGGGCTTTTTATGTGTAATAAACTCATAAGACCCATTGCATTGCTTACTCTTTATTTAAAAAAAAACAAACTTTTTTTATGCAGCCTGTGAACATAATGATTGGCAAAGCTTTTCGGCGTCTGCACTAACGGTATCAAATATTCAATGGAAAAAGAAATAGTGCGTACCAATGGGGGTTGCTATTGATATAATTTTAAAGTTATATAATAAAAAGGTGGGTGGTTTTGGGTTTGAGGTTGTTTTTTTTTTCCATTATTATTAAACTGTGCAGCTTCAGTTGGAGTACTGGAGATTTTTACTTTTCCTTACAGAAATACTTTTCCTCACAGTATACTTGGAGCTTTCAGCACTGGTAAAATTACTTCCATGAATTCAAATACCCTTTATTCCATTTCTTCTCCCTTCGCGATTAATTACTCCACTAAAAATGGTTCAGTATTATGGGATTCTTTCATCCTGGAAAAGAGACAACAGGAGGAGGATGTGATTAATTGTCTATACAAGGTTATGAACGGTAGGAAGCTGTTCATTAATTCTTGCAAGACAAGATCATGATAGCACTGAATGAAGTTAGCTTTGAAAAGAATGATCAAGACAAACAAACAGAAGTGGTATTTCACACAGTGTTTAGGAAACCCTTGCCACAGGACGTTGTGGATGCTAAAAGTTTACAGTGGTTCAGAAAGAGACTGGTCAAATTCACAGCACAGAAATCCACCTAGCTTTAGACCTAGTTCTGACTCAAAGTGCTCACACTATAAATTGCTGGTGTTTGGAGAGCAGGGGCTTTACTCAACCACTGGTCTTGTCTTAAGCTTTTCCCTGGGTGTCGACATTTGGCCATTTTTGGAGAACAGATGTAGAGCTAAATGGACATTTGGTTTGATCCAGACGAAATGGGAGTTGGGACTTCTTGGTTTCAGTTGTGGATTTATTTGTTTTGCTTTTGTGTCTATGTGTGTCACATTCCATTCTGTGTTGACATGTCTAAGTTTGTCAGCAATTTCTTCCATAGGGTTCTTTGCGTTTAGATCCCTTGAAATATATTGAAAATATCTCTTACTAATATTGTGATTTGGGAACTACCTCCTTTAAACAAAATCTTGCAAGGCTCCTCATTTGCCAAAGAAATCAGTGCAAACCTCAGATATTGGTTGCTTGGTGACCCACACAAATTGACTGGCGTGCAGAAGATGTTCTGGCATATATCATAACCACTCAGGAGATGTGTATATCATACACCTGTAGGGATGCTGGAATCTAGTTGGAAGAGTTGTGTTTGAGGAATTCTCATTCAATCACTTGCTTTAGTTTTGTAATTTTCTTCACAGTTTTGTATAATCCAAAAAAATCATAGAAGAGATTTAAGTTCATAGTCCATACCCCAGATGCTTAAAATCATAATTTAAATTATGTCTTAGTCTGATAAGGTTACAAATAAGAGTGGCGTGAGGTGGGTAAGAGAATAAAGGACAGAGGTATGTATGTGTTTGTTCAGATCAAGCAAGTATAAATTATTTTATGTGGTTAAGGCCTTTTTTTCCCCTTGAATGCAAAATATTTCATGAACATACCTATAAGGATTTCTTATGGTGGACAAGTTTGCCATGCCTTTAGCTGCACTGAATTGTTTCTGAAAATATACATATTTCACTTAGTTTTATTAATCTGACTTCTTAAAAAAGGACTGTGTGAACTTTTGCAGATAGATGATGCATGTTCTGCCTACCTGACCACAGATTCTCAGCCTCAGGTGAGTCAGACAGAGGTTACTTTATTGTTTTGATACTATTTGTTATATGCAATAGGATTGGATGTGTGATACCTGAGTTCATGTTTTCTTTGCATTAGGTGTCCAGTACACTGGAAGAACTTTGTTTTTTGGTCATGGGATTTCTCCAGAAACCACAGGTAGCACACAAAAGACTACTACTCATTTCTGCAGCCTGATCTCTCAGTGTGCCAGTGTTTGCAATGAACTTGGAGGACCCAGTATCTGAAGTGTCACTCAGTGCTGGAAGTAACACTATGAGTTCTTACTCTGAAATGCTATGTGTCCTAATCCAACACCTATTAAAGAGAGACACTCCAGTATTTGGAAAATAATCTCCAGGTTGGATACAAGGTTTTAGGTGGTTTTATTGCTCTAGATTAGAAAAATGATGAGTTCTCAATGGAGAAAGAAATTTACTTAGGAGAGTCTAGGCACATACAAAGGAGCATCCACTAAACCCATCTACTCTTCTAGTGGAGAGTAGTCAATGCTCTCTACAGAGTTTGAAAAGAGTAGTTACATTGATAAGCAAAGACTTGCAATATATCTGTCAAGGAAGGACAATATTCCAATCCAATACTGAAAAGTTTATAATGTAATCAAAATTGTCCATTGCTCTCTTTCTTTCTTTTTTTTTTCTTTTTAAACAAATAAAAGCCTCTCTACCGATTATTCCCACAGGGTTTAGATGAAAAAGACAACACCAAAAGGGTAAGATTTCTATGTATGTTTTATGATCACACTAAAATTGTCAAGAAAATCATAACACCCTTGCCCTGTTTTGTAGTAAAACCCCACTCTTAATTTTTTTGAACAGTTCTTATTTCATTATTCTAAGACTCATGACTCAGGCAACTCAGACATCATGGTAAGTGGCATAGCAGCTCCTTGTGAATACATGCGTGCTTGTACATAAAAACAAGGTAATGTTCCTTTTTGCAGTAGTCTCTCCAACAGTACAGCAAGCTCAGAACTAGGAGCTTTGTGCTTAAGATATAAAATGTGTTTTAATAACATGGAAGAGGATCACCAATATTGTCCAAGTGTGAAAAAATCTGACCACTCATAGAATCCCAAATGCATCTTAATCTTGTTACAACATCTAAGAATAAGATCAAATGCTTGTTTCTAGTACTGGAACATAACATATGCAGTGGAACAATGTGGATTTATAGAAGCTGAGAACATGACCATAAACATCAAGAACTTTTAATGAATTTTTATTAATTAATAATTAAATCGTATGTATTTATTTGCATGTCATAAATATATATCCGGCAAAATAGTATTTAAGTCTCACTCAGACTTTGGATTATATTTAAATGAAAAATATGATTTTAAAAATAGCCCAGTATTGTTAATATAAAAATATTCTCATAAGCCAACAATATAAGCCAAACTACGTGTGATCCATTCTTGCTTTTAAAGTGCAAACATAATCTATTATTTCTGTGCATCTATGTGGTTTTTCTGTGCATAGGAATTTGAGAAAGTTAAACATATTCATGTTTTCTCATTTCTTAACAATCATTCTTATATGTTAATGTCCATTTTTGCCTTGTTCTTTACATTTCTTCAGAAATACGTGGTATATTTCCTAGAAAGTGATATTGTTGATATTGGGGTCAGTGTTTTCATGATAGAGCTGCTCTGGAGGTTTTAATGGTAATCAGGGCACAGTGAAAGGAGCTATTTCTGCTGCTCCTCCTGCTTAAGAGGTGATTGCATCCCCCTTCATCCCCATCCCGAATACCTTTGTCCCCACCTGCCCCCAGCCATTGCTGCTTTCTCACTTCTGCTGTAGCTGTTCAGTTGACTATTTTCTAGCCCAGTTCTCAGAGATACTAACTTAGGTGAGATCCATCATTCCTTGGCTTTATTATCCTCTCTCCACTGACTGCTAGATAGAGCCCAAGTGACCAGCTGGGATGCCCTTTAACTCCTGCACTTATGTCAGACTTCTACTTTTTTTAGATATTGTGATGCCACATTGCCTACCTTAGGCAGACAAAAGTGGCTCCAAGTAGGCAGGTTCATTTTACTTATTAAATACATCAACACTTTGGTAACTCTAGTTATTCCATATGTTATAATTCTCTTTGTCGTATTATTTTTCTAAGAAGTATTGTATCAAAAATGCATTATGTTTTTAAATTACATTTACATGAGTTGACGGTTTAAATTGGTTGATGGAATATAGGTTTTTCTACTTTATTTCTCACTGTGGACCTCTCTCCACAAGCCCACATGGTTGTGTTTTGGCAGGGGAGCACTTACATGGCATGCAACGCCTCTGTATTTACCAGGCTGTCTGCAAGCTTAAAGTCTTATTGAATATAAGGAATTTCACAAATGGAGCTTGTCATTTTGGTAGAGTGACCAGTGCCATGGTTACAAATTTTACTTGAGAGTGGATCCCTCCTGCACGCTGTCTTCTAGCAAAAAAATAATTTTTCTTGCTGTGATTTAAGTTATGTTGAATTAGAATGAACTTTTCAGTACAACGGAGATAGAAGCTGCTAACTTCCATAGTAGATAATCGTAGAAATGTTAGTAGCAGTACTGTATGGAAATATTCTCTGTACCACTCAGAGAGGCTGATCAAAGTCTGAACAATTCAATTGCCTGAGCAAGAAGTCTGTAAAGAGTTGTAAACTTTCAATGAGTAAAGGTGAGGATGCATAGCTTTTCCCCCCATCACTCTGTGAGTCACATTCATAGTGTAAATATAAATGTTGGTACCTGTTTGTTGTAAAGTCAGAATGTTAAAACAACGTTTCTCAATTAACATCTTCAGTCCTTTTTTGGTGCGTGTTTGGTCCATAAGCCAATACTGTGGGAAGAGCTTTTTTTGCATCATGAGATCTGAATTTCATTGTTGCTCATGTGTCTGTGTTCGTGTCCTCTCAGTCGTCTGTCCTGCATCCTTTGCTGCAACTCGTTCCCCAGCTTAATGAGAGAAGACTGAAGAGATACAAAGTGGACGTATGTAATCTTAAACTCTGCATGCTTGCATTCTCACGCTCTGCAATTCATTAGCTCTTCTAAAAATGTCCTTGTAGACCTTTCTGCTCATAACATTTTTATTCTCACAATTTAATAACACACTAGTGTATTTTCATTAGAAACATGAGGTTTTTCTATTCTTTAATTACTGAAAAATAATCCTGCTGATATTTAACATTTAAACCCCAAAACCACTGAAGTAATATACGCTTAACACAGAAGAGTGTGGAACACAGAGCGTATGTATCGAAATGGATCCGTTAGCTCTGTTAAAAAATGAAAAATACTTTCAAATTTATCTGTACCATTATATTGCAGTTGAGTTATATTTTCTAGGAGGGGTTCTTTTTTTTTCCCATTTGGAATTCAAACCACATCTACTCCTTAAACTTATATTATTTATGACTTCTAGCACTAAGAATTTCCAAGTAATTTATAGGCAATTTTACTGTTTAACTTTTAAGATGCAGATAAGAAAGTTCTCTATGGAATTAATTTTCAATAGAAAAGTAGTGTGTGTTGGAACAAAATTTTCACATAGAGATAAATTGTCCCATTGTTTCAGAAATATAATAAAATTTGGGTATATTTGCTATAAATGCAATTTCAAATTTCAAAAATAAAAAAGCAGATGGCTATTAATGTCCATATCTTTACTCCAGCTATGGAGAGAAGAGAAAAATGCCGTCTGATATATCAGAATCTTTCTCTGTAAGAATACCAAAGATTCTGGTATAATAAAGTATACCAAAATCTAAGACCCAGATTATTCCTGGTTTACATTGACTTCAGCTTGGTTATTCCTTAGATTCATTGATATGATTCCTTATATTCACTGATACAGAAGTTAAAATAGGTGTACAAATGTGATACTTAAAACTGAGATAGTAGCATCCCCATAAGTAGGATTTTTCCTTTATTAATCCAGATACAGGCTGTGGTGTTAACTCCCAAATTTTCAATGAACTCTTAATCCTATGATTATACGTGTCAGCTCTCATCTAGTCATGGTTGTGGTAGGTAATACTATCTAGCCCTCTCTTCAGAAAAAGGGAAATAAAAAACTAGACCAAAAAAAATGCTATAGTGTTTAGGAAAAAGCACATAGCAGGCAGACATAACTTGGTGGCAAAAGGCAAACATTTTATCAAGCTTCTTTTTGTAAGGTACCTTATTTTCAACATATTTTTAAAGTAAGAATAAATTAATGATGATGAGTATCGTATGTTTCCTTAGTCATATTTTCAAGTGGCTAATTTTTAAAAGACCTGTGGCGTATTATTTGTATTATTGCACTCATAACTAGAGGTACATGGAAATAGCAACAGTAAGAATTCCAGCCGTTCCACATTGTGATAACTAGCAGTCTTTAATTTGCAATCATGATGTTACACTTATGGTTACATGTTAGCCCAGCTAAATACATAAGCACATGCATAACTAAGGTCATTCTTTCAGTGGGACTGTTCACATGCTCAGTGCTAGGGTCTTTGCTACATAAGAATTGTAGTTACAGGCTACATAAGAATTGTAGTTCTAGCTAAAAATTTGAACATAGAATTTGTGGCACTTTCTACTCCCATGTTGAGTTAACAGTAACCCTTAGTTTATGAACTACAGCTACAGCAGTCCTCTGGATTAGTCAGTGCTGTCATGGACAATTGGATTAGATTAGACAGCGCAACACCTTCATCAATCCTTAAGCAGAATAAGGGCGGTAGTCTAACTAGGATTTGTTTGAAGAGGAATGGAATATAGAACTGTCACAGTCATACCATAGTAACAATTTTTAAGAAAGAAGGCATAATAACAAAAGCCACACTAGTTCAGGCTGTATTTTCATCAGTCCAGTACCCCGTGTCTAACAGTGTCTTGCTGTGCATAGGCAGGAAAAAGGTGGAAGGACCAGGGGAAGTGTGGAGCAATCAGTTCTCTCAGATACTCTCTTGCTTCTGGCAGGCACATACTAGAGACCTTCTAAGTTGAAGGCTTCATCTGGACCATTATGTAAGATAGTCATTAATGGATTTAACCACCTTTGATTTTTCCCTACTTGTATGTATTTTGGAATATTTTATCATTAGACATTTAGGCCTAAAAAGTGAAGAGCTCATTAAATCCCATTGAAGACATGCATAATATTAAATAAGTACTTTCGTACATTTTCGCCTATGCAGCTGAAGCCAAGAGAAGTAATGACATGGCCAACACTTACAGAATATAGCCATTTTAAAACAGTCATGTAAATCTAAGGAAACAATGAAAACAGCTCTAAATTTAATTACATTTTATAGAAAGCAACCTTTTTGATTTCCTGTTGTTTATTCCTGCTATCAATACCAGTCACCTTGTTAAAGGTGTTATTTACTGCTGTACAGTCCATAAACACCAGACGTTTACAAAGTGGTAGCATCTTCTGGAATCAATTTCCTTTGCAGATTCTTCTGGGTTTGGTATTTTTGCATGCATCTTGTTTTAATGTCATAATAAATCTTAAAAATTCATCCATATTACACTTATCATATTTGTTTATATGGCAGATTTCAGCATATTTTAGTATAAGAGTTTAAAATCCTCTCTAAATGTTATTGCTGAGGGCCATACCAGTTTATAAGAAAATTAAGAACACACTGAAATAATCTGCCATCAATAATAAAAGTATTGCAATTATTCCCTGACTGTGAGAAGGCTATAAATCTATGTTTCCAAGAGACTTTACCAGATGGGCTGATGGAGAAATAGCATAGGTAAACTTTAAACAAGTAGAGGATCAGAGCAACCCTGCCTCAGATGTGCAGAGGAACTCCAATCCCCCATGGAGCTGAAAGCCCCCATGTTCCTTGGTTGGACTGACTCTGGTGTCACAGAACATGCTTCAGGAGAGGTTAGCATGCTGCTGATTTTTTTTATTCCCACCTCTCTCCCTGACCAGATAAGGAATTGAAAAGGTGGATGGGTGAAGGAGGAAACATGCTTTATTAAATCTATTCTTTCTTCCCAGTTTGGGCTGACACCAGATTTTGTCATGAATTTGATTCCTCTTGTGCTACATCTTGGCTGATATAATATGATCCAAGAAAGAAGATGCAAGAGCATTTTGTTGGCAAGTCAATCTAAGAGACTGAACAAGATAACTCAGAGAGGGCAGGGATTAAAATCAAACTCTAATTAACCATACTTCTTCATGAACTTGTATGTTTCTGTGTGTGTGTATATATATATATATGTAGGTTTGTGAATACACATGCATATACATTACAGCATGTATTAATTATTTTTATCATCTCCAAACCCTTGGAAGTTTAGAAGGCAGGTGTTACAATGAAGTCAGATTTTAGCTTCAGTTATTTTCCAACACCAACCTTCTGACATGAAATCAAACAAGAAAACTACATAATCTTCTTTAAGAGTTGTCTGGCTGTAAGCAGAGAATGACCTATTAACATAAATCACAATTACACATTAGCAATTGTACTCTTGATTCCTTTTATGTTCTAGATCAATTTCCTTACCTTGCAACAGCTGCCTATATTGTTTTGGTTTTTGTTTTTGTTCACACACTGAATAGAAAAAGTAGCTGTTTCTCAATGTGTGCAGCATGGACAGGATAGAATATCATAAGATCTTTTCTGTGGGAGTTGATGTAAGAGGGGTGATGACGATACACCTCTGGGAACAGTCTGGGATCTCATTCCTGGGAGGAGCACAAGTATTTCTGATATTTAAGATTTGTGTTGTTTTCCTCCTGTGAGGTGCAAAACCCAACTCTATTCGTAGAGACTCTGCTACCATGAAGACAATCTGTTTGTGTCTGGGTAACGACACCTGGAAAGTCGAAGGCAAAGGCTGATCATCATTACTAGTAGCATACAATACTTTTAATATGTACATAAACAACCTCTTTATATGTATTCATTTACAAGAGTAGATACGATTGAAAATTCTTTTTTTTTAGGAAGAACTTCAAGGACCTGGAGGGATTCAAAGCAGAGGCTACTTTTTTTATAGGGTATGGTTCATTTAACTTCTTTTCTTTTCATTTTGTGATGAGCATTACAAAACAAAAATTAGAGAGACCAGTGAATTACAGTAAGAATTACTGAGACTGAGGAAACTTGTTTCACTAAGAGCATTCCACCGTATAGGACTATTCAAGATCTGCTCCAGACATTTTCTTCAATTAAAATAAAAGTATAGTAGGAAGTTTTCGCACATATCTTAATGTTTGTGTGTACATGATACCATGCTATGCCTTGATAAGTCATTGGTTATTATGTATATAATTCTCAGAGAAAGTTCTAGAACGTACAGCATCTTGGACAATCCTTGTAATGCATTTTGACCTTCCTGTTTTCCTGTATTTTGAAAAGTAAGATTAAAACTAGATACAGAAGTTCTCATGAGAATGAAACTACTTTGTTCATCTTTTATGTCATAGAGCCTTTTTACTCCATTTTAGCAAAACTGAGCAAGTTAAAGATGGCAAGTCAGACTTAATAATATCCCTCTTCATTTTGGTTAATATTTTTTTACACTTAAATAAGAAAGTGGCTACAGTTGGACTTGATGATCTCAAAGGTCTTTTCCAACCTAAATGATTCTATGATTCTAACGAAGAGACGGCAAGTTTGTATAGTTACAGTTCTGTATCAGGCTTGGGTCTTTAGAGTTCTTATGACAGGCCAAAGTTATGGGTAACATTAACATTGGTGCATTCACAATGCCAATGTAAAAACCCAATCCTCAATAAGCTCACTAAGAAATTTTTAATCAGCTTTAGTAGAATTTGTATTGAGTCCCTCAGTAGTGCAAAACAATTCTGAAAATGACCACAGTGAAAAGGGAGAAACTCTTTACCTATGTTAAAGAATACAGTCTAAAGAGAAAACAGTTGAGAGTGACTTATATATTTGTTTGTTAATTGCAACAGACATTTATAATGCAATAATAGCAACAATCTGAAAGCACATTTTAAGAAAATGCAAAAAGAATGAGGGATAATGGTCTCTTTGACTTCTTGTGGCTTTCTTCCCCTTATAAAATCATACAAGATAAGCATAATTCTTTCTTCAATCTCTACGTAGCAAAGTTTACTGTGTAATTCTCCTCCAGAGGTGGATATACATGAAACAATAATGGGTCACAGGTTTATCTTTAATGACAGAACTGAGAAGTTTATCGATTCCTATACATAATTGGTTGGGTGGGGCTTTGTTACTGAAAGCAGTCACTTTTATAAAGCGCTTATTGAATATTTGTCTTTCAGCCACGCAATGGAAGGAGATCAGTGGATTTTCGCTAAGGAGGTATTTATTTAATACTTTTAATCATTGTCTGCATTTAAATATGCCACAATATTTATGTTGATAAGTACTCTCAGAAGGCCTCTAACTGTGTAGTCAACTTAGATTTCCACAAACTTTTCCCAGATCTGTTAAATTCATGTATCTTCAGATGAAGTGAATAGAAGCTGTAGATACTCAGTTCTTAGAACAGAGATCACAGACATGTTTCTGGCAGCAAGAATTGGAAAATATCCCAGATTTGTAATCAGTTTGGAAAGTTAGCAATGATGATAAGTATATATCAGGAAGAACTGATTCAACCAACTGTCAAATACATACTGAGAAGTATATTGACATCCTGGGGGTAATTCCCTAATCTTGCACAGAAAAAAAACCTCACACTGAAACTAAGTACAGATTTCAGGATTTAATTCCAAAGCATTCAACTATTTTGGAGAGATATAAAAAAAGTATGCCAATATTATAATGCTCTGTTTTCTAATATATTTTATACCTCTATCATACTTAAAATATTTAGTGTTATATCATACCAACAGCTAATGCTTTTTCTTATTTTTCAGGATTTTAGATTCCTGACCTAGAACTAATGCTGCGGGAATGTTGAGTACATGGACATACTGTTTTTCCTTACAAAAATTATTCATTACTAATGTACAATTAAAAATCACTAGAATGTAAATGTTCTTAAAAGATTCAAAAGTTTCTTTACTTTCTTGATTATATTAAAAGCATATTAAAATTACTTGTTTCCTAGTGTTATGATGTTTACAACTGTGTAATGCAACTGTAAAAGTCAGTGTGTGCATGCAACAGACATTGTCCCTAACAACACAGTTATGTACATTTATTTTTTCTTATAAATAAAAGCACTCAGTTAGAGATTTGTTTTAATGAGAATGTTTGTAATGTAGACTATTGCATTTTTCCAGCATATATTGTGATGTGTGCAGTCTTTAAAATCACAGCTTATCTTGGCAAGCCAAACAAATGCTATGTTTTAGTTTTCAAGATGATGTTCTCTACCCCTGTACTTCCCTCACTGTAGCCTGTAGACTGGCAGTCTGCAGGGTCAAGATAAGTGCTCTGCAGGTGGCCTGCAGAGCTATATTGATAATAAAGGAGTTTGGCAGTCCTCAAAAAGCCTTAGTGTTAGTGTTTCATTGGCTGAAAAAAAAATAAAAATGAAAATATTCCCCTAACAAAAGGAAATTGAACAAGTTGCATGTTTTGAAGAAGTATCTTGACTTTAATTCAACTGAAATACAATGGCATATTTTTTTTTTAGCTATTAAGAACACAGATGCAGTATGGTTCTCATTCAGAAGAAGACTTAATTTCATCACTTATATTCATCCAGAATTAGCAGTCACTTGAAAACTCAATTGGTTTTGATGTAGACTTAAAGAAACTCTACTCAAAAGAACAAATTAGCCTCTCAATCTTCCTAGCTTCTCTTTCTGAGTTTGTTTTCACAGGGTTGTGTTAAAATACGATGTTGAGGTTGTAATTATGTTGAAAGTAACTAAGTGGATTATCGTTTTTAACATTGTATTGCCTGGTCAGGGTTTGAATTGACCTCAGCATTACTACTCCTGCTTCTGCAAGCTTGGATGAGTAGCTGAACTTCAGAAGGTAGCTGGGAAAACAGACGGTCTTGGAAGTGGAAACTGGCTTAAGAAGTCCTTTTCCTCTTCCTACCCACTTGTTTTCACTCTGCAGTTTGCTGTGTCTCCAGTCGAACTGGTGCAATTACCTGTGAACTGAGGATCCAGTTTTATATGACCTCTGGTCAGAACTAATGTGTGGCCTTCTCCCACAAAGTTCTTATTGCATTGTATTGTATTAAATTAGGTTATTTGTTTAAGTTTTTCCCCCCACTGCCTTACACTGCAAGACCGACAGCTTCCACTTAAGCAGGCAGTGGGATGAGGAGGCCGGGGCTGAAGGGCAAGGCCGGGAAGCAGGGCTGCCTCCTTCAGTCACACCCAGCACCAAACCACGGCCTAAAGTGGCCCAGACTGAAAGTGTCCTGTCTTTCAGGTTTTGGTTATTTTTGTTTGTTTTCTTTTTTCTTTTTTTTTTTTTTCCCCCTCTCCTGAAACATTGTTAAACAGGATCAGTTTTGTCAGCAGTAACTAACGACTGACAGGGCAAACGGCTGGACCCAGCCTTTTTGTGCGCGGGCGTGCCTGGCCCCAGCGGCCGCTGCTGTCCTGCCACCGTCGGGTCAGACTGGTGGCCTCTGTGAGGGGAGGCAGTGCCCCAGGGGCAGCCATGCAGGTGGGCACAGAGGGTCACCCCAGCCCCGATCTGTCCTGGTGGGGCAGCAGCTGAGACCGAGGGCAATGAGGGAGTTGGGGCAGGGACACTAAGAAAATGGGGGAGGCTGCAAGTAGGCAGTGGTTGGGGCCAAGAGAGGTGCCCGGTGCTGTAAGAGCCATGTTGTGTGGCCTGAGGCAACCACCGGGCAAGAAGAGAAAGGCAAGGTGGCAAGGAGGGCAGGAGCAAAGCTGGCCATCAGAGAGGACCCCACCACCACGGCCAAGCCTGCTGCATGGCCCAGAGGGCAGAGAGAGCCGGTGTCGCTGCCCCAGTCCTGCAAAGCTTTGCCAGGCACTGTGGGGGTCCTGAGGAATGGTAGATAGGAGAGCAGTTTATGTGGGGTTTTTTGTGAGAACATATCAGCAAACTCTGAGTTTCTAATGGTTAAGAATTAACCTGTAAAAACCATAAAATACTATACTTTGATAGCTGGATGACTGAAGGTATTATTTTAAAAATACCTTTGATAATTTGTTTCATGTCATTTGCAAAAAAAAAAAAGCTCTGCAAATTAAATTTAACAGAAGTATTATTTACACTTAAGGATTGAAGTTATCCAGCCTGTGTGTTCCCAAACTTGATATATGCATCCCCCCGGCAACGCTGGTTGTAACTAACATTATCATTGGCAGCAGTGAGAAGTGTTAGGACAAGTTTTTTTGCTTGGGATTGTGGCCTGCTAGTAGAGTAATACTGCTTCAGTAGTCTAGCTTCATACTCCAAAACCAATTCACCTTGGATCACTTTTGCCATTGGTTGGCTCCTTTGCACTCTTATCATCAAATATTTTCTGAAGATTTTGATGCACGTTTTCATTTATTTCATCTGTGCATATTAGTGCAACCTTGACCTAATCACTTAACACCAACTTTTTAAACATTGGTTTAAGTCAATTTGTTAAAAAATTGTTAAAGGTTTGCTAGCTTCTGATCTTCTCTACCTTGAAACTGGAATTCAGATTTATCAGACACACCTGTTTCTGTATGCTCACTGTGGTCTAGGATTCATCATCCAACTTTTTTTTTTTCTTTTACATTTTGTAGATGTAGCAGCATCTAGAAAATGTCCAGTGTATAACTGGTTACACAACCTATTGAATGTTACAAACATTGAATAGAAACAGTATAAAATACACCATTTAAGTAAAATACTATGGAAAGATTTTATGTAGGACTTAAATTTACGGGAAAACTCAAAATGTAAAAATCTTTCATGGCAAAAACTGACCAGAGCTTATCTTCTAAGCTACCCGCATTCCAATTCTGTTTCAGTAGGTTTTTTTGTTGCATGGTTTTGAAATTATTTGTCCACTTATGATGATGATTTTTATTATGTTTTTTAATGCCTCATGATTCTTTGTAATCCTTCTGCCATGGAGAAGGATTTGCATTCTGTGAAGTGGGGAAATCTGATCCTGACTTAAGTCAGGAAATTGTACAGTAAAGCACTGTATGTGGAGGCCAAAGTGCCTGTGTAGTAATCCTGTTTCTTCAGTGGTTCCCTTGGTGGACTAGTGCTCTTAGATCTGTGGATTTTTTTGATACTCTGGCTGTACCAAAGGCAAAACTCGGCTTTGGTGAAGTGTTGAAAAGTTGCAGTAAGACTGTAAGACTGACTGTAATACTTTTTTATGTACGTGAACCCTGAGGAATTACACTATAGCAAAATCTTCATTTGGGTTTTTCCTATTCCAGACCCATGAGTGACCATCTAATTCATTAGATTATATATGGAGCTTCTCTTTTATTTTTTTTCCCAATGGATTATATCAATTACTTTTCAATCAAAGAAGGAGAAAACATCACTAATTCTTAATTTTTTATCTATGTTTTCGTATGTGGATAAAGTTAAAGTAAGTTTGCTAGTATATTTGAAAGACATGATGAAATAACCATGTTCTTAGAGGTGGAATGTTACGGAAAATAATTTTCCAAATATTATAACTAACTCACTACAACAGAGTTGCCATTTCTAGTCCAAAATCTGGATACTGGAACTTTGCGGAAAGAATCAATTAAAGTATTCAGGTAAGAAATCTCCTCTTTGTCTTAGCAGTAAGGCACTAGATGTTTGCAAAGCCAGAATGTTCCACTGGTAGTGAATATTGGTGGCAGTACCTTTGCCTGCAGTCGGCTGAGCCCAGGCATTAGGGCTGTAGCAGGAACTGCCATAACTATTGCCACTTCCTTTCCACTGCGAAGTCTCGCTTCCCCACTCAGGCCAGAAGAAACTGCCAGAGGTAAGAGTCTTTTTGCAAAACCACTATACTTAACTTTCTTGTGAGCAATAGCATAATTCTGTTTACTCTCACTGTGGAATTCCCAAGTATGTTTTCACCTAAAATGCAAGCAATTCTTTTACCTTTGTGAAATTCCTTGAGGCATGTGTAGCATTTGATCTTCATTAGGTTTCATTATACTCATGCTAAATTCTGTGCAAGAGCCTCGTCAAATAAAAATGAGGCATCTGTCAGCTGGAAAGGCCAATATAGTACTCATGGGCATGGTAGTGATCCAATGGAAATCCTGGATGTTTCCTCAGGTAAAATTTTTGTAATGTACTTTTTGTTCATTTGATGCTGCATTATTACGGAATTATGAATATCACTAAATATTTCTGATATATACATATGTATACAGAGACTTCTTTGTGGAGGTTTTCAAACAAGTCATTATTTCAGGGCCAAAAATACCAGACTTTTTGTTTAACAACCTGTTTTAAAATCTGCTTTACCACTTCTAATCCACATTCAAGGCCTCCTAATGTGTTGCTGTTCTACCATTCCAACAGCAGCCCGGTTAGAATAAACAGATTCTTTTAATACGACAACTTCAGTAGAAATGCAGCCTTGTGAATAGCATGCAGTTCCTTTATCTGAACCGTTTAAATAAAATTACCACATATATAGACTTAACACCTACAGAAGTCCTGTGTTATAAACATGGTGTATGAAGTAGCTTATGTTGACACATTAATACTAATCATCCATTTAAAAAAAAAAAGTCTTTTTTTTCTGATTCTAGGCATGCTTTTATATGTTTATTCACAGTGTCAATACGTTATTCTCAGCAGTAACATAAAAATACTGATATAAAAATCTTGCCTGTATAAAGCTGTATTCTTCAGGTGTGTTTAAGTAAGCAGTGTATAGTTTTGGGTTTCTGAAGTAGGTTTCCATATATCTTTTACACAATTTTTAGCTGGTATTTTGGAAACTGATTATTTTATCTATGCTTACAGTTCGAGGGTTTTTTCTCTCTTATTTTCTTGCTGTTTTCTGTTCAGACGTGAAAAATGACAAATGAAAATTCATGATAGAGAATGGTCCACGAAGGTATTGCAGCTTCCAAGTGATGGTTTCCTTTTGTTACATCCTTAATGTATACCCAAGTGAAAAAGGGCTGGTTTTGGCTTAAAAAAGGGCACACAAGACTGATGTGTTGATTTAGTTTTGTTTCATACTATTAAAATAGGATCCAAATGAAGATACTGAATGGAATGATATACTGAGACATTTTGGAATTCTTCCTCCAAAAGAAAAACCAAAAGATGAAATTGAAGAAAAGGTTTTA